AGTATTAATTTTTTTTGTTCTGCATGTCCTCCTGTGCTGAGTTCATGGTTTTTGTGTTGTTTTTTGTGAGTTTCCTCGTAGTTTTAATGTTTCCATGTTCTGCTTGTATTTTCATTTTCTTGGTATGTTGTGAAGTGTTAATTTTCTTTGAGGTTACCTTGTATTCCATTAACTTTCCTCTCCATTTAGTGCAGTCTATTTTATCCTGTAATCTACCTGACCTTCTCACCTCTGGATCTCTCTTCCTATGTGCTCACCTTATTTCACATTGTAATTGTTTTGATCATAGACTGACCTCCCAGAATCTCTGAGTTTGTTCTTATAGTTTTGTTCTGTTCTCAACTATTCCGTCTGTCAATTTAGTTTTGGGAGGTTCTGCCATGTATGTTGATCTCTGGTTGTTGTCTGTTCTTGTTGGTTCTCAGTCCACAGCACTCTCTTTAGGATGTTGTTTAGTGCAGGGTTGGCTTTGGCAAAATCCCTTAGCTTCTGTTTATCCTGTAATGTTTTGATTATACTGTCATATTTGATTGATAGCTTTGCTGGATAAAGGATTCTTGATTGGCAGATTTTTTCTTTCAGGGTATTATATATGTCTCCCCATTGCCTTCTTGCCTTCATGGTTTCTGCTGAGAGATCTGAGCTTAATCCGACTTGCTTGCCTTGTATGCAATGCTTCTCTTTTCCTAGCTACTTTCAGGATTATCTCCTTATCTTTGATTTTGGAAAGCTTGATTATTACATGTCTTGGTGATTTTCTTTGGGGTCTATCCTTCCTGGGGTTCGTTGAGCTTCTTGAATGCTGATCTTTTCACTTTCCAGAATGTTAGAGAAATTTTCTTCCAGCAGTTCTTCAACTATCTCTTCTGTGGACTTGTGTGATTCTTCCTGTTCTGGAATGCCAATAATTCTTCAGTTTATTCTTCTTCATGTTGTCCAACATGAATCTTAGACCTTCTTTGGATTTTTTTGTCCTTTTTTCTGCTTAGTAGTACTGCTCTTCTACCTTAGTAGTATTGAGAGATTTGTCTTCCAACTCACTAGTTCTGCCTTCCATCTCTTCAATTCTACTCCTTTGCCCTTTCAGTGTATTATCTATTTCTGATATTTTATTATTAATCATTTGGACCTCTTTCTGTAGGTTTTTAATTGTTTCCAATGCTGTATCTATTTTATCTGATTGTTCCTGTAGTGCTTTTCTGACTTCTTCCTTAATTTTCTCAACTCCATTGTAAAGTATTTTAAAACATTTTATAATAATTTTTATGTTCCTTCTCAGGCATTTCCAAGGCCTGCCCCTGCTTCCAGAATGGAGTCCAGGTCTACCTCTAGGTCATTTGTCTCTGACATTTTATCTTGTTTCTGGATGTGTACTGATATGGTCATCTGTTTTTGCTTCTTGGACGTGTTTAGTGTTTAGCTGTGGCCTTAATACTTAATTGAGTGTGTGTTTTTGGTATATTTTATGCTTTCTAATTGCCTCCAGGTAGATGTGATCAGGGGGTGGACTTCCCTTTTCACTCTTCTTATTACTTAGCTCAGAGTAACTTTCATAGGTGTTGTCTGCCTTCCTGGTGTATGGCAGTTGTTATTGGTTCTTGCCTGGATTGTGGGGTTTTATAGAGTGTGATTGTAGCTTGATTATATGGCAGCAATTTCTGTCTCTTATTGGGTAATATAGGGAGAGAAAGAGCCCCCTAAAGGTAAAAGGAGGAATAAAAAAAAAATAATAACAAAAACAGTAACAGCAAAACCCCCAAAACAGAGTGGCTATTATAATTTATAATCACAGAAAAGGGAGAGGAGAGACAGAAGAAAAGAAAATCTGTAGTCTAATATGAGTATGACTTTAATGTCCTCTTTCAAGCTTCTTGCCTTCAAGGATGCCTGATGAAATTCAGGATGCCACTATTGGTTGTTAGGCTGTACCTCCGAATTTAATTTTCAGCCTGTTTTGTTTTTAAGTTCTCTCCCTCTCCACACCCCCTGTTCTGGCCTTTTCCTTGTTAATAAAGAGTTCAGGGCTGGCTGTGGCCATTTTGCACTGCGGGTTTTAAGCAGGGACTGGCTTTTTAAGTGACCCCTGTTCTGGCCTTTTTCCTATTAATAAACAGCTTAGGGGTCGGCTGTGGTTGTTGTGAGCTGCTGCTTTTAGGTGTGGACTGGTCTTTTGACCGCTGAGAGGATCTATGTACATGCATGGTAGAGGAACCCTCCAGTGGTGGGGGTGGGGAATGTCCACTCGTTCAGGCACCCCCTCTAGTCACCAAAATGGAGGTGCACAGACAGTTAGAGGCCAATGAACAGATACCAAAAAAAAAAAAAAAAAAAAAAAAAAAAAAAAAAAAAAAAAAAAAAAAAAATCAGAATAAAAGAAAATCAAACAAAGTATATTGTCTACCTTTGCTCCGAGGTTCCCGCAGCGTTAGTCTGTGGCAGGTCTGCTCTCCATTTCTTTTAATTCCATTTTTCTCCCCATGAATTTTTTGAAACCCCTTTGTATCTGCATACACTGTGTGGACATAAATTTTTCATTTTTCTTAGATAAATAACAAGAAGTTGAATTGCTGGTGTTATGCTCATAAGTATATTTATGTTTAACTTTAGAAGAAAGTGTCAACTGTTTTCAAAGTGGCTTTCCTGTTTTGCATACCTTCCAGTAATGTATTAGAGTTTCAGTTTCAAAATTAGCCATTGAAAGCCCCATAGAGCACAGTTCTCCTCTGCCACACACCCTCAACAATGTTGGATCTTGTCAATCATTTTAGTTTTAAGCATTTTAGGTGTATTGTCATATCTCATTGTGCTTTTTATTGCATTTCCCTAATAACTAATGCTTTTGAGCATCTTCTCATGTGTGTTTTTGTGTATTTCTATTCACTGTCATTGCAGTGACTGTTCAAATTGTTTCCCATTTTAAAATTGGATTTCTTGTCCTATTTAATGATAAGCTATTTACATAGTCTAGATAGAATTCCTTTATCAGATACAGTGAAGCCTATAAAAGTTGGAAGCTGTGTAAGGCAAAAACTTGGCAGAGAAGAAAAATGAAAATATTTTCCACAAATAGTGAGCAATAGAAAAATAAAACTGCATCTTTCTTTGCAAGACCTGGAAAACAAGGCCATCCTGTTGCATTCTGGCTCTCACAGGCCTCTCTGTATATTTGCAAATATTTCCTCTCTGTGTGGCTTGTTTCTCATTCTCTTCTCAATGACCTTGTAAGAACACAAGTTTAAAATTTTGATGAAGCTCAATTATCAATTTTTTTTCTCTATGGATTGGGTTTTTGGTGGCATTTCTAAGAAATCTTTGCCTAACCCAAGGTTGGAAAGATTTTCCCTTTTGTTTTCTTTTGGGAGTTTTATAGTTTCCGGTTTTGATATTTGGATCTGTGATCCATTTTGAGTCAAATTTTGTTCCAGCTGTTGTTGTGTTTCCCTTTGAGCTATCTTTGTGGCTGGAGTTCCTGTCTTAGTCATTTGCTCTCATTTTGATGATGTTTCAGCGGATAGACATTAGTGTATTATATTAAAGCATAAGTTTATTAGTTCATTTTACAATCAAATTTAGCATCATCAGTGAGGGCCAGATCCTTGCCCAAAGTCGCACAAAACTGGACAGGGTTATGTGCCCTTTGCTCCCAAGCGTCCTCCTCCTGGGTGAGACCAGACCCCCGTAAAGACTGTGCCTGGAAGTGGGTGATGTTTCAGGCTGAGCTACTGAGGGCAGCCATTGCTCAGTGGCCAGGATTCTGGAGTCACAGAGATTTAGTTTCCTCATCTGTGGACTGTAGGTGTGTAAGCCCAAACCAAATCCACTGCTGTCAACTCCATGCCGACTCATAGAAACTCTAGATAGCATTTGTTGTTGTTAAGAGCCATCGAGTTGGTTCCGACTCATCGTGATCCTGTATAGGGTTTCTGAGGAGCAGATGGTGAGTTTGAAATGCTGCTCTTGTGGTCTAGTGTGTTTTACCACAATACCACACCAGGATTCCGTAGGGTTTGTGAGGCTGCAAATCTTTATGGGAACAGACAGCCTCATCTTACCCCTGTGGAGTAGCTGGTGGGTTTGAACCACTAACTTTGTGGTTAGCAGTCCAATGCTTAGCCCACAGCACCAGCTGTCTCCTTGGAAGTAGGTGTAGTGAGGATCAGCTACGATACCGCATGCCCTGCCTTCTGACATACCAGATACCCAGAAGTTAGAGGTTGCTTCTTTTAAAAAAACAACAACAACATTATGTTGACCAGAGATGGAGGCAGAGATGGGGAAATGGAGAGAGGGAGCAGCTGAGGACTCTAGATTCATAGAAAGGAGGGATTAAGAGCTGGTGGCCAGGAGGCAGACTTGCAGAATGTGCCCCTTGGTGGTTTAAATTATTATATATGCCTGTTGTTGTTGTTGTTAAGTGCTATCAAGTCGGTTCCAACCCATAGCGACTCTGTATAGGGTTTCCGAGGAGCAGCTAGTGAAATTGAACTGTGGACCTTGCAGTTCAAATGGCTTTGCAGTCTGGTGCATTAACCCACAGCGCCACACCAGGACTCCTATACATGCCTGAGTGTTTAAAAAAAAAGAGCGAAAATGAATAGAGAAAAATATTGTTAACTGGTGGTACATGGAGGGGATTGTAATCATTTTAATGAAACAAAATATATGGTTTGTTGAATGTAAAACTGATGATCTGCTCTTCACTCAATTCACGATAAACATTTATATATATATATATATATATATATATATATATAGAGAGAGAGAGAGAGAGAGAGAGAGAGAGAGAGTGTTGAAATTATATACAACAAAACACACATCTCAGCCATTTCTACAGGTACAAATCAGTAACACTGATTAGATTCTTTATGATTTACAGCAATTCTTGCTATCCTTGTCTAAACCATTCCACGACCACTAATGCCTCATGTGGAGGGAGCTCTTTTGCTGTAATGACAATGGTAAGCACTTTTTTTCTCAGGCAGGAAACTCAGGCACAGGGCATGGATCGCTGTGGGGTCCTCCTCCTCTACCTCTGCCTTGGGACTTCTCAGAATGGGAGAGCAGGTAAGGGACTCTCCTGCACTGGGTGAGTAGGGAGGTCCTAGTCCCGTCCCATGGCTACCTCAAACCAAAGGCTAGGACCCGGGGCCACACTGACCTCCTGAAGGGCAGTTCAGAGGCCAGGGGGCAGGGCAGTTGAGGTGGAGGGCTGACTCTCGCTGTTGGCAGAAACCTCAGATGAAGTCCAGACACAAATGGAGAAAATGGATGCATTAAGTAAGGGACATAAGGGACGAATGACGACTTCTCTTACTTGGTGAGTTGGATGTCCTTTCCTGTTGGTTTAGAGTCAGTCCTGCCCCCCACACCTTGAGTCAGTGGTCCAGGACTGGCCCAGTATAGACAGCTAACCCATAACATGGTTTATGGAAACCGGCTGTTGGCCTGGTGCTGGGCTCTGGCGGTGCAGGATAGATGTGCCCCTTTGAACTTATCTTCGTTTGTGTGTGTGTGTATGTGTGTGTGTGTGTGTGTGTGTGTGCCTGTGCTTTTTTCTGGGAAGGGGCTCCAAGATGCTGCCTGGGGTGTCCCAGGTCTGTGACTCCAAGGTCAAGCAATTCTAATGACTGACCAGGGTGAAGAACTTCAGCTGAAGAAGCACTTCATTCAGTAGAAGGGGTGGAGGAAGCAGTCAGGGAAGGCTTCCTGGAGGAGGTGATAACAATGATAGGAGTTCATAGCAAGAAGGAGATAGGCAGGATGGGGTGGTCATGGTGTGTTAGGTGGGGGGAACTATGTGTGCAAAGATGGGGTGGCAGGTGTATAATGTGCCCCTGAGACTGTCTACAGCCCTCTCTCAACTCCATCCCCCCCCACCCCCCCCACCCCCCATTTTGGAGTTTCCTTTCTCTAACCAGCCACAATATCAGCAAGCATATCCATGACCTGGAGGAGGTCCTGCTGAAAGCCAGCTTCAAGGGCAAAAACCTGACTCAGGAGACGTCTTCAGGCAACATCATGTCTCTGGCCTTCAAGCTGGACCATGACTTCACTGGTCTCCACCTGAACAGCACCATTCTAAAGCAGGACCCTCAGGTCAGGGAGGGCCAAGATGTGGCGTGGCCAGCTGTTTTTAGGCCTAGAAATCCTCCATGGGTTTGGACTCTTGCCCCTAGAATCCAGGTTCTACTCCGACTCACCTCCTCTGTAAAATGGGGTTGAGATTTCACATGTGAACTATGGGAATGGAAGGGTTTTGTGGCCCCTGGAGGGCAGTTTTGGTAGTGGGCGGGGCTCTGGGGGAGGTAGCAGTGGGCAGGTTGGAAAGTCTCGGCCTTTTAAGAAGCCGTGTGTAGTACCTGCTGGATGCCTGGCTTGTGTGGGACAGTAGGGTTTAGAGACAAAGGGCTAGAGGAGGGAAGTGGCAGGGGGACCAAATTAAAGACCTAGGATGGACGTTCCTGGCAGGGGCACTCCAGGTAGGGCAGGTTGAGAATCTCCATGGGGAGTGGGGACTCCAAGGTGAAGCCAGTTAGGGAGGCCTTGAAAGCCAGACTCAGCCTGTCCTTGACCCTCTCCAGGTCAGGCCTTCCCACTTCATGCACTTCCCAGGCGAGTTGCGAAGGAAGGCCTGCCCTACTTGCCACAGCGAGCTGCGTCTCATCTGCATCTACTTCTTTACCTCCTTCTTTTTCCAGGTCAGTGCCCATGGTGGGGCCTGGGAGGGCAGTACAAGTATCCTGACTTCTGGGTGGGGGACCAGCCCCAAAGGGGACAGCCTGGGCCCACCACTGTCCGTATCTGGGCTTCAATTTCCTCTCCAGTGTTACCAGAGTCGTAATCTGCAAATAATCTGCCATTATTGGAAACTTCCATGTGCCCATACTTGGGAGGGGCAGAAAAGAAGGTGACACAGACCTGCCCTTAGAAAGTTCTCTATCATAGCATTTAGAGTAGGACCTTAGAGACATAATGTTGGCTCAAGATAGGCTATAGTCATAGAAATACAAAGTGGTGGGCAAGTCAAGGTGTGGTGGTGGGGTTGTTCCCAAAGGAGAGTTCAGGAAGTGAGTGAAGTGGAAGGTACAAGACTAAAATGCATTAAGCATTTGGAAGGTGGAGTAAGGGTCCTGTGATGGGGGCAGAGTATGCAAAGACCCCAAGGCAAGCCTACGCTATACGGAAACGAGACATTCTTCCTCACTCCTCCTTCCAGAAGGAGGTGGTAGGGAAGGGGGCCCTCATACCTCATTTAGGATCTCCCTGTGTTCCCCACCCCCACCCCCCCGCCCTTAGTCAGCTCTTTTTTCCACTGCCCTTCTAGGATATCACCAATGCATCTCTGCTTAATAACTACGTCTTTGGGGCCCAGCTGGACCACTACCATGTGAGCAACCTCAGCGAGCCGATCAATATCAGCTTCTGGCACAACCAAAGCCTGGTACGTTCTCATCCCAATCTGCCTTTCTCTGGCTCTCTTGTTGAATGTTGGCTTGACCAAACCCAGACCTATGGAGCCATCTTGGAAACCAACTTACAATCACTGAAAGATTTTGAAGATTTAAAACTCGTTCACGTCTTGAATATTCTTGCCTAAGAAATAATCCTCACCGTCACTGAGAAAAAGAAGCTTTAACTCATTGCATGAGTCAGGATTCTTCCAGTTGCAAGTGGAAGAAAATCAAACTCAAAGTAACTTAAGCACAGAAGGTAATTTATTGGCTCAAGTAACTGAAGTGTCCAAGGATTGTCTAGCTTCAGGAATGGCTGGATCCAGGGACTGATTTGATGTCGTGTGGTTTACCTCTTTCTGTCTCACAGTAAGGCTTTCCTGCTTTGACTTTCCACTGCATGGCAATGTGGCTGATGGAGCACCCGACTTCTTTCCCTCCTTCCCAGCAGGCTGTTGCTTAGTAAACCAGGGTTCCAGAATGGAGCCCTGAATGTCTAGCTGGGTGACAGGACCATCCCTGATCTAGTCTTTGTGGCCAAGGGGATGGAATTTGTGAACTGACCAGACCCTCGAGGCACTGTAGGATAAACATTGGACTGCTAACCACAAGGTTGGCAGTTCAAACCCAGCAACAGCTCTGCAGGAGAAACATGGGACTTTTCTGTTTCCATGAGGATTGACAGCCTTGGAAAGCCTATATGGGATTGTCATGGGTCAAAGTTGACTCGATGGCAGTGGGCTTAATTTTTGGTCATTTTTGGCTTCCACAAATCCTGGACCCTGATCCACAGCCCCTCTCCTGCAGCCTTCTGACTGAACCCCACTTCTTCCTCAAGGAAAACCACAAGCTGACCTGTGTTTTCTGGAAGGAGGACAACAGCACTCATCACTGCGGGACCTGGAGCCCCGAGGGCTGCGACACAGAACAGCGGTCCCCTGACCAGGTGATTTGCCACTGCAACCACCTCAGCTATTTTGCTGTTCTCATGGTATGTTGGTGTGTGAATTGGGGGTGGGTGGGCATCAGAACTGCAAAGGAACCCACATTCAGGGCAGTGGTGCAAGGCAGAGTCAAGAGACAGAAAGTCACTATGAGTCAGAATCAACTCTATGGCACTTAATAATAATAAGAAGAAAGGAAACATGGGCTCATGTTTCCAAGAAGGCTGTAATTAAACTCCAAGCATGACTTGAGCCATGGGCTCAACCTGTATTGCCCAGGCACTGCTCTGTCTGTCCCTTAGCTGGTTTTGTGGTGTGGGCTTCACCATCAGGCAGGATCTCCCTGTGGGATGAGGGTCCTACTAGCTTTCAGTTTAGTGGAAAGAAATCATCACTCCCAATTCTGCCTGTCAAACTGGCCAGATTGAGCCCACCAGCCCGTCATGCAAGCAGGAAGAAATGGGGTCCAGTGTGCACAAAATGGGAGAGGTGATGGGGTTACCCATGCCAGTAGGAGAGAGGGAGTTCCCCCAGAAAATGGAGGATCTAGTAGAGACAGGGGAGATGGAGACCAGATGGGGACAGTCACCATGTCTGCTCTGGCCTTGTTCAAGCCAAGATCATAAATAAGGGAGGCTGAGAACTGAGGTCTTAGGGGAGCCCACTGATTGAGCCTGGGGAGGAGTTTCCATTCTTCTCCTGGGCCCCAGCCCTTGTTTTCCTGCCCACAGCAACTCACCTCAGCACCGCTCCCTCCTGAGTTGTTGGCGCCGCTCATATATATATCCTATGTGGGCTGCAGCATCTCCATAGTGAGCTCCTTACTCACCATTCTGCTGCACGTGTACACCAGGTATACGGTCTGCCCCCGCCCCACTGCTCCGCCTCGCCCCTCTTTCTGACTTGGGTTCCTGCCCCTTGTTGGCCTCAGAGTCCCTGCTATTGTGTGTCTGGGAGCCTAGGGGGTGGCCCTACTGGGTGTTGCCCCCAGGCCATGAAGAGCCATGAAGGGCCTTGGTCAACCGCAGAAAGCCCAGCGATTTTACGACACATATCCATATGAACCTGGATGTCTCCGTGCTGCTCCTGAATGTCACCTTCCTGCTGAGCTCTGTGCTGGCCATGCCCTCCAGACCCGAGTCAGCATGCATGATGCTGGCTGCCACCCTGCACTACACACTGCTAAGCTGCCTCACCTGGATGGCCATTGAAGGCTTCAACCTCTACCTTCTCCTTTTGCGTGTCTACAACATCTACATTCACCGATATGTACTCAAGCTCTGTGCAGTGGGCTGGGGTAAGCATGCATCCTATAGTTCCTGAGGATTTCAAGTGTGCAGGGCACCAACCTTCCTTCCTGTGGTCTTCTTTCTTTTCCTTCTCCTTCTCACTGTGATTATCATGACCAGCAGCTGCCATCCCTATCAACACTCCACCATTACTTCCTATGTTCCTAGTCTCATTACTATCACCACCATCATCATTACCTCTACCATTGCCTCTACCATTGCCTCTACCATCAACAACATCACTGTTACCCCCTCCATCTGTAACAGCACCGTCATCTTCACCATCACACTCTCACTATACCCACCACCACCTCCATCCTTGTCTTCACCACCACCATCTCCATCATCAGTACCTCATCATCCTTGTCTTCACCATCTCTTTCATGACAATCACCAGCACTGCCATCACCATCCCAGTTAGCTCTCTGCCACTGCTTCCCCACTATGTCCACTATTATTACCACAATCATTGTGCCCTAGAACCATCACTGACATCATCATGGGGCTTCCAAGACTGGACCACATGACAGGAACTGGGGGTTCAGAACAGTCTCCCTCCTTACCCAGTGGTATTCTGTCTTAGAAGTGCCAGGGACCAGGGTCAGCCCCTCTTTAGGGTTTCCTGCATCTCTGCCCTGCCCCTCAGGGGTCCCAGCCATCCCGGTGCTGTTCATCCTTGCTGTCAATAGATCAGCGTATGGACTTCATGAGATACCAATCTCTCAAAGCCAGGAAAACAGCACGGGCCTCCAGAACATATCCATGTGAGTATCTCCAGCTGCAGCAGACTCCCTGTCACTAGCCACAGGGCATGACACTCAGAAGCAGGCCACTCAGGCACTTCTGGGTGGGTTTGTATCACCAATCTTTGGGCAAGTAGTAGAGTACTTAATCATTTGTGTCAATTAGGGCATGCATTTAATTTTGTATTATTGTGAAAATTTCTGGCACTCAAACATAGACGAGATAAACCCCAAGGGCCACCACCACCAAGGACCATTGTAACCTCTTTCCTTTGTGGCTGAGGAAAGCTTGATATACTGAGGCCAACTCTGTGAGGGCATCTGTGTATTGGTCTGTCTAATCTTCACAACAAGGGGTAGGTCCTCTTGTCTGTCCTCTTTCATAGCTAGGGAAACAGAGGCACCGGCAACTTAAGAACCCTGCCCAGGGCGTCCCAGCCACTTGATGGTATGTGATCCCAGGTTGGCTGGCTCCAGAGCCCATTGCTCAGACATTGCCTCACACGACCCCCTTAGCAGAGCTAAGTGGACGATGCTCTGGGGGATGAGTGGAGGGGGGTTACTTCCTGTTACTGCCAAAGGTTTGGACTGGCTACTCAGAAGTGTGACTTGGGACCATCAGACAAGCACTGTATTGTATGATAAATGATACAGACAAAAGAATATAAATGATGCTCATCAGATAGGAAGCATGTTGTTGCTTGGGTGTTAGAGAGAGCCAATCCTGAAAACAAGCTTCTCCTCATACCACACCATCCTGAAAACAATCTTCCTCACTCCACACTGTCCTCTAGGAAACCATTCCCCTGATTTTGTGCATGGTATCCTTCTGCATTTTAAAAACGGTTAACTATTTTTAAACAACAACAACAACAAAAAAACCCACAATAGAACAAAGCCTTGAAAATAACTCAAATGCCCACTGATTGGACACTGATTCATAAATTGTGGCGGAGCCACCAGTAAAGTGTGATCTAGCAATGAAAATGAACAGTCCATGGCTACATTCATCTGATTGGAGGGATCCCCAGAAGAACGCTGTGGTTGCAATGGTAGTGTATCTTCCTGCCCAAATGACTCCATCTCTCAGGGCTTGAGTTTCCTATCTGTAGGATGGGAGAGATACTATTCCTGCCCCATAGTGTTGTCTTGGGGGTTGAATGAGATGATCCATACAAAGTATTCAGTATGATGTCTCACCCAGTAAAAGATGGCACCTGTCTTGAGAAGCAAAGGGCGTGAAGATAGCCAAGCTTTAGTGAGGGCTAGGAGTACTCTTTCCCTTGGCCATTGGTGAGATTTTCCTCTTGCTTTCTGTGCAACTCAGCCCACACACGGAAAGCACTCTCCCACCATGCTGTAAGTTGGCAGTGCTCACCAGAAGCAGCAGTGTGGGAACCTCCCCACCCACTAATGAGGGAGGAGAATGCTGGTCCAGTCTAGATGGGGAGGAGAGGGCCTGATGCACAAAGATGAGCTAAAAGGGGCAGTTTCCAGGAAAGGGGTCCTGTGATACAATGGAACGTTGTGCATTTGGGCTAGCCTTGGAAGGGGAGAAGATTAGACAGATGCAGAGAGGAGAGGAAGTTTTCAGGTGAGTAAAGATGTGGAGACGTGGGAGAGAGCCGTGTGGCTGGAGAGGAGGACACGGAGGGGAGACTGGAAGGGAGTGAGTTGGCAGGCAGATGGGTACTCTCATAGTGGCCTGGCTAGAAAGCTGTGTCCAGGACTATACCTAACACGAGGAAACAATAGGACCTGAATCGGGAGACCACATGGAGTTCACGAGGCGGTCCAGAGGCTGAGCCCAACCCTTCACCCCTCCCCTGCAGGTGCTGGGTGACGAACTCCACAGTGCACAGTGTTCTGGTCATGGGCTATGGTGGCTTCACATGTCTTTTCAACCTGGTGGTTCTGGTCTGGGCCCTGCTGGCCATTCGAAGGCTTCGGATGAAGAAGAAGGCGCCGGGCACCCGGCCCTGTAGGGACATCATCACTGTGCTGGGCCTCACCGTGCTGCTGGGCACCACCTGGGCCCTGGCCTTCTTTTCCTTTGGCATCTTCCTGCGGGCTCAGGTCTTCCTCTTCACCATCTTGAATTCCTTCTACGGTAGGACCTCTTTTCGTGTACAGGGGGTGGGACATTCACTGCTAAAGATTTCTAGCTGAGTGGGTGAGTGGGGGACTAACTCCAGCTAGAGATTAATCATGGGCTCGGGTCCCTGACATCAACTCTCAGTGGCCTTGTGTGACAGAGTTGGACACTGGGCTGTCATCTTCATGGAAGCAGACTGCGGGGTCTTTCTTCTGCAAAGCAGCTGCGTGGGTTAGAACCACTAACCTTCTGCTTAGCCTCTGAGAGCCCCCAGCCTGGAGGAGGCTGAGCTCTGCCCACCAACCTTTCCTTGCAGGCTTCTTCCTCTTCCTGTGGTTCTGCTTCCAGAGGTGCCGCTTGCCGGCACAGACGAGAACATCCAGTGAACCCTTAGGCTCCACCCAGATGACGCAGTAGTCCCGCTTCAACCCAGCCTGCTGACTGCCCCAAGACCCAGGGCTCCGACTCCCTGAGAAAGTAGCCCACCCTCTGCTGGATCACTGTGCCAAGAAGATGATCCTACCTCAGCTGTTCCCCCAGGGTTGAAAGAGGTGGGGCACTGCTCCTCCTGGGGGCAGGTCCAGCCCCTCCTGGGGGCAGGTCCAGCCCCTCCTGGGGGCAGGTCCAGCCCCTCCTGGGGGCACTGAACTTTGTCCTGGTGCCACGGGCTGCTGGCCTGGCCTATGGACAGAGCACTGCCCGGGAGGGAGTCAGGAGGCTCTGTTTCAGGGCCTGGCTGTGTCTCCTTCCAATACACATCGACTCTTGGTTTCTGTATCTGTCATGTAGGAGTGAATGGCACTCATGCTTTGAACCCCAGAAACTTTGTGAGGATCGAATAAGATCAGGGTGTAAGAAGGTTGGGGTGGGGTGGGGGATTCCCACTCCACCTGCCTGCTGGGGGCAGGATCTCAGCCAGCTTGCACTGGAAGCATTTGCTGGGCCCTGGCCCTGCCTGCTGGGAAGAGCCAGACTGGACCCTTGGAGACTCCAAGAGCCAGCCCAGCGCCTGGAGAATGTCTGAGATTCACCAGCCTGTGTCAGGGGCCCCTTTTCCTTTGACCCCCAAATTACAATGCCTTCAAATCCTCACCTTCCAAAGACTGAAGTTAGTTCTTGCAGGGGCTCTTCCTTCAGTGTTCCTGAACTGCCCATAGGCCATTAGATCAGCAGCTGGGGCTATAGACCAGCCATGAGTAAGTGGGACCCCAGTGACCTCACTCTGTGATGACTACACAGGATTGAATTTCCACCGGTGAGCGTGAGAGTCTGAGTTCCATCCCCATCGCAGAGAATTATTGCCTTTAACCTGCGTGGCCACAGACAGAACAACACTCTGAAGGCCTAAAGGCCGGCACTTTCCCAGGTTGCACACCAGGGGGCGATGTCTGCCTGGAAAAGCGGTAGTTTTGGGGCAAAGAAGCCGAGGTTGGAGAGGCCCAGGCCTCCAGGACTATGAATGTGGAATGATTGACAAGTGGAAAAGCCAGGAATGACTACATGTCTCTCATTTCCCCGATTCAGCTGCCCCTCCTCTTGCATTAGGTGTTTTGGCCTCAGGGCAACTGACCCAGGTAGGCTGTCAGGGCCCCACCCCAGTCCATCAGATAGGCTTTAATGGGTTCGAGCACCACAGAGAGGGAAATGGAGCCCGATGCCTTTTTCCCAGTAGGATCCTCTGCCCTTTGCTCATTTTGGAATGCAAATAGATCCTCGTGGGGTGCTAAAGGATGGGTGTAAACCTTTGGATCTTGACTGCTTGGGCTCAAATGCCAGCCCTGTCACTTGCTAGCTGTTTGAGCATGGACAAATCAACCTCTCTGTTCCTCATCTATAAAATAAGGGCAGTAGTAGGACCTATTTCAAGGATTGAATAAGATTTAATCTATATAAGGTAGCACAACTTTGGTTGCATAGTGGGTTACAAGTTACAGCAAGGTTGGCAGTTCAGATTGACCAACCGCTCTGTGGGAGGAAGAGGAGGCATTCTGTAAAATTTACATCCTCAGAAACCTGTACAGGGTCACTATGAATTGCAGCTGACTCCACGGCACGTAGCCACCACCACCACCACCACCAAAGAGATTTAGCTTAGAATAAGGGCTCAATAAATGATTGCTATCATTATCACTGGTGATAAGTCACTGAACCGCAAGGTCAGTTTGAACCACAAACCCACCAGCTTCTTTTCCCAATAGGTATTCAGTCCTCTTCTCTAACCTTGCCTCTGAAACTCAGGGTTCCAGGATTGTCCACTGTGTCGGTTTCATTAGGTCTCTCATATCTTTGTTGTAGAGGGTCTGTGTAGCATGCCTGCCTAATCTGCTATCTTAATCAATCATTAAAAAATATTTTTTTGAAATATTTCGTGCCAATTTATTTACAACATTCTCATTTTTATGCCAATAAAACATGTTTTGAAATTGACTCTATGCTTAAAATCTGTTGATTTACCTTTGTTATAGCTGTTCTTATCCTTAAAAGTTAATTCCAGGTCGAAAAACAGCTCGTCACCTATTTTTTTTCCCCTATAACTTCATTCAGTTTTCAGTTGTCTGCAAAACCTCAGTGAGACAGTGTTCTTGCTGTAGTGTTGTTTCTGGCCTATCCTAAGTGGATAGACAAGGTCCTATTTAATAAGGTAATTTTAGTTACTAGGTAACCCAAGCCGATGCAATGATAGACGGCCTAAGGAAAGGTGGTCCTGCAGGTTTAGGGTTGCCGTGAACTGACCGGCACTGGGACAACGTTCACACCTGTCTACAGGAGACTCTGCCTTATCCACACCCAGCGAAGAACATGCAAATAGTAAATCTGCTTCCTTACAAGTCACAACTGGTGCTGAAAGCACACACGTGACTTCGTTAGGCATCTTTAACTAGAAAAAGATAAAATGATCAGACTGATTTTACTGCACAGAAGGTTGGCATTTTGATTTCTTCCACTCAAGGGCCTTTAAAAGATTTGCGGAAAATTCCACTGTCTTTTTAATTCTGTTTTCCACACTTTTTGAAGCCACCTGCTCCTACATTGATGTTATGTGCTGTGGAGTCGGTTCCGACTCATAGTGACCCTATACAGTGTTTCCTAGGCTGTAAATCTTTATGGGAGCAGAAAGCCTCATCTTTCTCCCGCAGAGTGTCAGGTAGTTTCGAACTGCTGACCTTGAGGTTCGCAGCCTGATTCATAACCACTATGCTACCAGAGCTCACCTGATAAATATTAATTGCAGGCTCAAGTCCACCTAGAGCTGACTTGGAAGAAAGGTATGGAGATTTATTTCTGAAAAATCAGCCATTGAAAACTGTTGCTGTGTTCCGTCAAGCACCGTCGACTCATAGCCACCCTGTATGGGGTTCCTGAGGTTTAAAAAATCTTTTGGGAGCAGAAAACCTCATATTTCTCTCAAAGAGCGGCAGGTGGGCTCAAACTGCCAACCTTATGGTTCTCAGTCCAGTTCTTAACCTGTAAAGCTACCATATTAGTCATTGAAAACTCTATTGTTGTTGTTAAGTGCCATCGAGTCGGGTCCGACCCATAGCGACCCTGTACAGGGTTTCCGAAGGTGTAAATCTTTACGGGAGTAGAAAGCCTCTATAGAGGGAATTAAAAAAAAAAACCCAACTCTATGAAGGTTAAACTCACTGACCTTTCGTTGATTTGCTGTTCTCAGAATATAAAAATATTTCCCACATATTGCAGCCTCCAGACCTCTGTCATACACTCCCACATCCTCTGATCTATTTAAATTCTTGTGCATCCATTTATCACATCTCCCATGAAATCTTTCCTACTTGAGCTCTGGGCAAAGCATCCCCCACCTCTCTTTAGGGTGACGTGAGCCTGGACCCTTTAGATTAGCCCAGGCCTTGGGTGCTGGGATCATGGGGACCTCTGACTCCTCTCTTGGGCAGCCCCAGGGAGAGGGGGTCCAGGCTGTGTCTGCGCAGGCTGGGTCACAGCCCACTGAAGCAAGGCCTTGCCCAGGTCTCCCCTGCCTAGGACCCAGCCTCTTAGAGCCTACCAAACCCACGGTTTCCCAAGGGAGGATGTGGTGATGTTGATATGGGGTGGTTCCAGGAAATGAGCCCCCCCACTGCTTGTGGTCCTGAGTCCTACCAGGGTTCAGGTTTTGGGCAGGGACCACTTCCCGGAAGTGTCACATTGGGTGTGGGGGCAGGGGTGGAGGGGAGTGTGCAGTTCCAGGTTGGGTCTACTCATCCCCCTAACCCCCTCCCCTCTCTCCAAGTAATTTGGGTCTGGTGATGAAGGGTGCTAGCCCAGCTCTCCGGGCCTCAGGCCTAGCAGGAGGATGGAGAGGGTGGAGGTGTGGAGGCACAGTTCATGGAAACATTGAAGACAAATAGATTCCAGAAGGGTCACAGGCTAGGAGGTTTCATTGTCATTTTGCTATTGCTATTCCAGAAAAGGCAAAACGTGTGAAGGGTTGAAAGTGGGGTTGTCGGATAAAATACAGGGTACCCAATGTTTGGGATGCTGTCATTGTTAGGTGCTGTTGAGTCGGTTCTGCCTCGTAGAGACTCTGTATAGAGTTTCTGAGGCTGTAAATCTTTAAGGGAGCAGAAAGCCTCATCTTTCTCCCTTGACGTGACTCGTAGGTTTGAACTGATAATCTTGTGGCTAGTAGTCCAATGCTTACCCTACAGTACCACCAGTGTTCAATGTTTGAGATACTTGTATTAAAAAATGATTAAGATGGCAGCTTAGGCAGACATGCTACACAGACCCTCTTCAAGAACATCCAGTCTCATCTTTCTCCCTTGGACCTGCTGGTGGGTTTGAATTGCTGACCTTGTGGCTAGCAGTCCAGTGTTTACCCTATAGTGCCACCAGGGCTCTTTCTCACTCATCATGTTGTTGTTAGGTGCCATCAAGTTGGTACCGACTCATTGCGACCTTATGCACAGCGGAACGAGACACTGCCCGATCCTGGGCCAACCTCACTCATCATGTTGTTGTTGTTGTTAAGTACCGTGGAGTCGGTTCTGACTCATAGTGACCCTGCACAGGGTTTCTGAGGCTGTAAATCTTTATGGGAACAGTATGCCTTATCTTTCTCCCTCAGAACTGCTGGTAGTTTCGAACTGCTGACCTTGAAGTTGGTAACCTGATTCGTAACCACTATGCTACCAGAGCTCCTTATGGGCTTTGGTAATTCCCTTGGCTTCGCCGAGACTTAGTTTGTTTATCTGTGAAATGGGGGCTGTTTTGATCATTACTTCAAGGGCTGTTGTGAGGGGTCAGGAAGAAAAGGGTGTGAGTGTCCAGTGCCCAGTGTGATAAGAGTTACTTACACACAGACTGTTGTCAGTTACCTGTCCAGGGAAGTGTCCAGCAGCCCCCTTTAGGCTTTCTCTAACAGGATTTGGCCAAGAGTAGGCCCTCCAGAGTGAGAG